AACTGCGCACACAGAGCTAAAATCAAATCTGAGGTACCTCCCGAAGAGAAGAGGGGAGCTGGGTGCTCTGAGGAGGAAGTAGCTGCTTTTCCTGCAGTGAATGATAAAGTGGCGTCATGGGAGCTATCAGATGAGAGACCATGCAGTGAGGGTCAGAGGAAGAAGGAAAGAGTAATGGTGGCTGGTGACTTCCTACTGAGAGGTAGTAAGGCAGCTATTTGTAAATGTGATAACAACATAGCGATGTCACCATCTCCCTTTGTAAATGTGATAACGTAGTGATGTCACCGTCTCCCTTTGTAAATGTGATAACAACATAGCGATGTCACCATCTCCCTTTGTAAATGTGATAACGTAGTGATGTCACCGTCTCCCTTTGTAAATGTGATAACATAGTGATGTCACCGTCTCCCTTTGTAAATGTGATAACAACATAGCGATGTCACCATCTCCCTTTGTAAATGTGATAACGTAGTGATGTCACCGTCTCCCTTTGTAAATGTGTTAATATAGTGATGTCACCTTCTCCCTTTGTAAATGTGATAACAACATAGTGATGTCACCGTCTCCCTTTGTAAATGTGATAACATAGTGATGTCACCGTCTCCCTTTTCCCCAGGTGAGTATCCAAGACTTAAGAGAGAAACTTCCAAAGTTTGTCAAAAACAAATGACTTGTACGTGTGCACAAATCTCTATTTGAATGTATACAAATGATAGTACTAGAAGGAACCTAGAAAGAAGCTCCGAAGATGATGAAGTCTTGGTACTTGGTTACTTGGTAAAAAGCTGAAGACCCTGGGACACAGCTGTATTGTCCTCACTGCCACATATTGGAGACAAGGAACGCAGAAGAGAAAAACAGACTTGGGAAATGAACAGCTGGATTATTGTTGTTGTTGTTTGTCCTTCATTCTCAAAGAGGACCTTGACATCAGGGAGGTGATGCCATGACATGCAAGTGAATTGGATTTAAGTGAGGCAGGGCTGTGCAAAGTCACCAGCCTCACTTTCTCCTCCAGAGCCGTCTGGGTCAAGTGATGAGATATAGATCAGGATGACTGGAGATGGCCCAGGATGTAGTGGGAGAGCTTGGCCTTTTTAAGCTAAGGTCTTTACTAGGTCTCAGTTTGACTGAGGCACCACCAATTCAGTGATTTAGGCTAGGAACAGCTGGATAAACAGCATTTGAAAATGGGATTTTAACTGCTGAACTGTGGCTTAAAATAAAGGAATGACAGGCCCCTGGCCAGGGATGGAGCAAGTCTAAGCTGGTCTAATTGCATTTGCATGATTAGACTTGTGAGTCTAGTGAAAGGAATTTTAAACTAAAAAGGTTGGGGCAGAGAGAAAAACTACTTAAATGCCTTCCTTGCTAACTACCATAGAGAGCATGTCCAGTGAAGGAAGAATAGCAGTTGAGGTACCCAGTAGTTCACAGACTAACTATAAACGCCAGTAGTACAACCCTTCAAGGATTCCAATGTCTACACACAAATGCCCAAAGTTTAGGCAGGAAGAGAGCTAGAGACCCTAAGACAAGGAGGCAAATTTTAGTTCATAGGTATCACTGAGACTTGGTAGAATAAAAACTATGACTAAGACTATGGATGGGCATGCCATATTCAAAGAAGCATTTGTAGAGAGGCTATTCTCCGACATATATCATGGGGATGTTATTGTGGGGCCCAAAGGGAGGCAGACTAAACATCTCTACCCTCTCCTTCCTCCACCTTTCTCCAAGGGAGAGGTTAATTCTCTCCATGAGAAGAAGCAGGCGGTTGGGACCAGAAGCTTGGCTACTCTGCTCTCCTCAGAGAGAGGGGGTACTGGACTGGGATACCTCTCTGCTATCTTAAACACTATTTGTCTAGGGGATGTAGTTTTCAGGTTCAGGTTAAACTTCTGATTGTTGTTCGTTAATGGGGACAGGAGGACCCAAGCTTTATATCCAAGGCTTGACTCTCTTCCCACCAAATACCAATTCCACCATAAACACACATTGCAAATAGAAAAGAAACCCATTTTTCCAAGTTATTAGCAAAACAGAAATCAGAGAAAGTAAATAGCAGAATATCTACCAGACAATATAGAGTGAAGGAGCTCTGCCATTGGGAGTAAGGTAACTCAGCTCAACCAAGACAGAGTCCCAGATCTCACCCAAGGGGAAGTTCCCTGAAGTCTCCAGTGGAGCAAGCTGGGGTTAGGGACATGAAGGACATGAAGGAGACTGCTAGCTCCACTCATGTGGGCTTCTTCCCAGAGTCTTATTCTTCCTTCAGCAACTAAAGTGGAGTGGGCATCACACATCTTCTCTCTTGAAGTTGGAACCCAGAAGCACCTAAAGCACCTGAAAAGCCAGAAGAGACTGAAGGGAGTGAAGAGACTGAAGAGATGGCAGCTCTCCAATCTCCTTTTTCCTGCTCTTGTCAACTTTGCCTCTCCCCTACCCTACAACCACCCCCTCCCCCAAGGCCCTAGTCATTGATCTCCATCAATGAGAAGAGAGTCCCATATCAATGGGCTTTGGAACTTGTATTACACAGGATAAGTAAATTGACATATAATTTAACATTATATATTAAAAAGGCATACTAAAGTGAGGAAACCCAGGAACCAGTGTGTGGCAACATGAGATGGAGAGCATTTGGGTAAATGTAAATGGAGGGAGGAACAGAAGTGATTTTTGTCATTTTGTCACCATCACGATGGAGTATACTACAATCCATATGGACTGAAAGAGGAATTAGATGATGAGTTCAGGAAACAGGTCATGAACCTAGCACAGAGGCATGGATGTGAATATTAGGGGACTTCAATTACCCAGATTCTACTGGAGCCTGCTCTCTCTCTCTCTCTCTGCCAAAAACAGAGCAACTAAAACTTCATGCTTTAATGATAATTTCATTCTACAGAAGATGGAAGAACCAACAAGGGGAAATTCTATTGTGGATCTGATTTTCATTAACAAGGAGAAATTGGTTTTTTGGAGTGGAGATTACAGGAACATTTAGGGCAAGTAATTGTTTTCCTTCTAGATTCTGTGATAGAGAAGAAAAGTGTGGCATAGCCTGCCATTGCCTTGGATTTGGGGAGATTTCAAAGGATTCAGAAGGATAGGAAACGTCCAATAGACTAAAATTCTACAGGGAAGTCAGTTGGAAAAGGATGGGAAATAGCCAAGAACCAAATTCTGAAGATAAAAAGCAAACGAATTCCGTTAAAGAAGAAACATAAAAGTTGGCTGAAGAGAGCAATGTAGTTGGATTAACAGGCACTCACCAACCATCCTAGATTCTAAAAAGATATTTACAGAAGATAGAAGCAAGGACAGGCAACAGAGGATGAATACAAATGCATGCCATGGTCCTAGGAAAAGAGTTTTTGGAGCGCTAAAGCTCAGAATGAGCGAGACTGACAAGGAGAACCAAGGACAACCAAAAGGGGACTTTTTTTCAAAAGCTATATTGGGAGGAAAGAGGAAAATCAAGGAAGAGACAGTACCAGTGTTTAAGGTGTAATAACTGACAACACAGAGAGCTGCTCAGTTCTTATACTGCTCTTGTTCACTCCACCAAGGTGAGTGAATGACCTTTGCATCTGAAAAGAGTGAAGGAAAATTAATGAAAAAGCATTTATTAAGTGTTCGCTACGTGCCAACCATGTGCTGAAAGCTGGGATGTAAGTAGAAAAGTGGAAACAATCCTTGCTTTTGAGGAGCTCATGTAGTAACTGGGGAAATATATTCCAATATTCCTATGTCAAAAGATATGAACAGTTTCGTCACTTTTCTCATATAATTCTAGAATGTCTTCCAGCCCCACCAGCAATGTATGAGGGAATCTGTTTTCTCTTGTTGCTTAGTCATTTTCAGTTATGTCCAACTCCTCATGACCCCTTTTGGGCTTTTCTTGGCAAAGATACTGGATGGTTTGCCATTTCTTTCTCCAGTTCATTTTACAAATGAGGAAACTGAGGCAAACAGGGTTAAGTGACTGGCCCAGGGTCACGCAGCTAGTAAGTGTCTGAGACTGGATTTGAACTCAGGTCTTCCTGACTCCAGAGCTGGCATTCTATCCACTGTGCTACCTAGGTGCCTGGCATCTGCTTTCTCACATCCTCTCTAACATACACTATTTTTGTCTTTTATCATCTTTTCCACTTTGAGAGGTAAAAGGCAAAACCTCAAAATTGTTCTAATTTGCATTTTGCTTATTATTAGGGATAATAAACAAACCTCCTCATCTTTTCCAATTGATTTGTGTCCCACACCAGAGATTATACTCCAGGCAGGACTTCTCAAACTTTTCCACTCACAACCCTTTTGGAAACTTTGTTGGCATTGACTGGCCTGAGGGCATGCACGGTGCAAAGTACGCATGCTGTGTGTTCAGAACCAAGGCTGCCATGAAGTTGCTGGATGAGACTGGGCAAGTGCTTCCAGAACACCTCAGGTTCATTAACATGTTTGATTTTTAATTAATTTTTGGTCACTGCATGTTTAGAAACATTTTACTGTTGTCAAACTTTTTGTGACCTCATATGAGGTCATGACACACAATTCTAGAGGAACTTTCAATTAAGAGTCCTGTTCTCATGTTCATGGTGACTACCTGTGTAAGACCATTATTTCAGGATTTATTTTATTTCATTTTTTTATTTTCATATTAATATCTATTCATACAGATATTCCTATATTTCATATTCACATTCCTATTTTAAATATTCTATCATATTATATATATTCATATTTTATTTCATTATTTCATTTGCCACCATGCTTCACACGATTCCTTTTCCTTCTGCCACTTAAATTACAGCCTCAGCAACTGTCTGACCACTTACAATGACCAGTGGTCACAATGACCACAATGACTCACTTAATAGAAATACTGTAAGTCATAAGGACTATACAGGTACCTGAGGAGATAGGGTTTACCCCCACTCCCACCCATGTAACAAATAGTATTTTTTTAGAGAGGAAAAAAAATCAGTACCAGTGATCTATATGTTGAAAAAGGCCAAAAATATGTGTGATGTGTAACACCTATGGATATTCCACATCCAATGAAGGGGTAGGTTGGGGGTGTCCTCTCATATCTCTTCATTTGAGTCCAGCTGGATCTTTATTATCTTGTTACATTAACTTGTGATTTTGGTGTGTAGTTGGGTTTTTTTTTTCCATTTTTCATTGTTGTAGTTACTGTGTGTATTGTTTTCTTGACTCTGTTTATTTTACTCTGCATCAGTTCATATAGATCTTTCCATACTTCTCTGACTCTTGGCTGTTGGAAGATAATGGGCAATTCAGAAAAGGGAGCTTCAATCAGCTAAATCCACTCAAGGTATCTTTAATTCTCCTGCTTTGACTAAATATATCTCCTTTTGTTAATTGCTGAATGGCCTACAAGTGTCTCATTTTGTTCTAATATTAAGCATAAGCTCCCTAGGGATTGGCCTGAATCAGACCCAGCCTGGAAAAACTTCCCCTAAAGCTAAAGTGTTAGGAGCTACTACTAATTAAATATTAGAAAACATACCCGAAATAATAAAATTAAGTCAAAGGGAAAAAATATGACTGGGTTTATTTTCATATACTTTCTTTTTCCAAGAATTTGGGACACAAATCAATTTTTACATGAGAAAAAGTGCTTCTTTAAAAACAATATTTCATATTATAAAAGTAATTTTCCTAGAATAAAGAAAAATAATCTTTGAAATAAAATATAACAATATGTTTGGTATATTATAATTAAAATATAGTTTAACAAACTAAAAATAATAACTTATCTATCTTATTTCCCCTTCTAGACCTATGTTTTACCTAAGACCCATTATTTTCCTCATATGTGCATTTCTGAAATTATTCTGAACAATTTGTTCAGCCAAAATTCATTTTTACAAACAACTTTCCTGTAGCACACTGCACTGGTTAAATGTTGTAGGTCTCATCTTGGATATGGGTGCATATGGCATATGGCAAATAGGCAGTTAAGTATCTCAGTATAATAGAGCAGTGGGCCTGGAGTTAAGGAAGATCTGAGTTCAAATCCAGCCGCAGACACTTACTAGCTGTGTGATTGTGAGCAAGTCACTTAACTTCTATCTGCATTAGTTTCCTCATCTATAAATAGGAGGTAATAATATCACCTTCCTCATTGTTGGGAGGAACAAATGAGATAATATTTGCAAAGCACTTTGCAGACCTTAAAGTGATATATAAAAGCTAGCTATTAATGTGTGCGTGCTTATACAATGGAGTCAGTATGTGTGCATATAGCAGCGTAGATACATGTGATCTTCATGTGTATGTGGACTGATTTACAGGAATGTTATTAAGATGACCTTCCTAGGGGCAGTTAGGTGGTGCAGTGGATAGAGCACCGGCCCTGGATTCAGGAGGACCTGAGTTCAAATCCGGCCTCAGACACAACACTTACTAGCTGTGTGGCCCTGGGCAAGTCACTTAACCCCATTGCCTAGCCAAAAAAAAAAAAAAGATGTCCTTCCTGACTGATACTGGTACAGATGGGATTTGTTCTGGAAGCCCCAGTGGTGCGTGCACATACACACACACACACGCACACACGTACGCACAGAGTTGGTCCATCTCGGGCAAGCAACAGAGAAGTAGGCTAAGTGGGAGAAGTGAATTCCTAGCTGTTTAGCTCAACCCCAGCCTGCACAATTCCATCATCTTAAGGTCACATTGGTCTGACTCCCACTGCTCAGTAATTTAATCACCATCATTATTGAAATCTAGGCCAAGGTCTCACCCAGCCAGATATAGCTATGGCCATGGGCGCAATGTTGAACATCACCTTGAGGTTGCTCTGAGAAGTAAGTGATTTCCCTTCTCTACTCCCCTGCCATCAGCCATCAGCCAGGGAGAGGAAAAGCCTGAGTAATTAATGCCCAATTAGCCAGGTGACAGTCAATGGAAACTGTCCAGATAGATGAATGTCAGCCCTCAAGGAAAGTCAAGGCTGATGATGTGTCAAGGAAAAGTTGCAGATTCTAGGGCTGAAGACTTTGGATCCATGCTTGATCCAATACCCAATTCAACCAACACTCATTACTGTACCACTCTATGCAGAGCACTGGGCTGGGGAAAATACAGTCTTGGTAAAACAGGGTCCCTGCCCTTGCCGAATTGTGGTTCCATTTCAGACTGGAATGAGAAGACTGGACCCAAGATTTCTCTTTGCCAGAATTGCTTCAAGGTGCAGAAGTCCTCCTATGACTCCCTGCTTTTCTCCCCACCTTCATTTTGCCACCCCAATAGCAAAGGCCCAACATCCAGATGTCTCATCATTATGCCCCTGGACCAATTCAATCCTGGACCCTGTGGTCCCCCTTCCCTCCTTTGGAGGGCTTCTGTAGTGCCACATCCTCGCCTGACTCTGCATCATCAACCTTGACTAGATAGCTACCCCCCTTATCTCCCTTAGCTTCCACATCCCTATGCACTCACTCTCAGGCATCTTGCAGACCTCAGTGGGCTTTAGAATCACAGAATGTTGAAGTGGATGGGTTGGTAGAGGTCATCCAGTCCAATTCCTTCCCTTGACGGTTGAGGACACGAGCACAGAGAAATCACTTACCCAACATCATGCTATTCAAATCCAAGTCTTCTGATTCCAGATCTGGGAATGTCCTTTCCACTCCTGCCTGGCTTCTTCTCTACTTTTCCACTCCTTCTCTCCTTCCAGTATAGGTATTAGAATACTCTCCTCTGAAAAGAGTTGTGTTTCTTTGAGACTACCTTTTTGGTGGTGGGGTATGCACAACTAGGTGGTGCAGTGGATACAGCAGTGGGCCAGGACACAGGAAGACTCATCTTCCTGAGTTCAAATCTGGCCTCAGATGCTTACTAGCTATGTGACCCTGGGTAAGCCATTTAACCCATTTACCTCAGTTTCCTCATCTGTAAAATGAGCTGGAAAAGGATACAGCAAACCACTCCAGTATCTGCCAAGAAAATCCCAAATGGGGTCATGAAGAGTCTGACACAACTGAAAAATGACTGAAAAACCAACAAAAAAATGTTATTGATGGAAGGGACCCAGAAACCATCTAATCTAACCATACTGTACAAGAGGAGTCAAGTGCCCTGCCTATGGGACAGTTTGATGAACCAGATTAAATATAATTGGGAAATGCTTAACAAAATAAGTAAACATACAATAGAACACAGATTAAAATTAATATGTGGCTTTCTGAGTCAAAAGGAGACCTGCAGGGACTCTTCATGTATGGGTTAGTGGCCTCCTCTCTATTGGACTGTGACCCCATTGCACTATACTCTTTAAAAATTCCTTTTTATTATTATGAACTTGATAAACATCAACATGAATACTTCCCAATCCATGCTGGCAGCTTGAGTGTCTTAGTGGACAAAGCACTGGACCTAAGTTCAAATCCAGCCTCAGATACTTGCTAGCTCTGAGATCCTGGGCAATTTATTTAACCCTTATCTGCCTCACTTTTCTCACCTGACAGATGGGGTTAACAGTACCTAACTCACAGGGTTGTTGTGAGGATTAAAAGAGAAAATATTTAGGAGGCAGCTAAGTGGCACAGTGGATAGAGACCGGCCCTGGATTCAGAACCTGAGTTCAAATCCGGCCTCAGACACAAAACACTCACTAGCTGTGTGACCCTGGACAAGTCACTTAACCCCATTGCCTAGCCGCCCCCCCCAAAAAAGAGAGAAAATATTTGTCAAGTGCTTTGCAAACCTTAAAGCACTATTAATTCAATTAAATGCTATTAATATTATTATAAAAAAGAGGATTGTATAAGAAACCATGAATCTTTACTATGTTTAACTTTTTTTTTTAATAATTCAAATTTAACATAGTAGTTCTAACACTGCCCTATTGGTGCATCCCCTTCTGAATTTCCTTTTGCTCCATTTTGTTTATTTTTCAAATGATTCATTGACGTTTTTCTTCTTTTATTCCTTTTAAAAATTATTATTATCACTATTGCCACTTCCCCTACTTCCCAAAGCCTCCTTAACTCTCTCCCCATGGGAAAAAATAAAGCCCTACCTTATAAAAAAAATCAGCACAGTCAAACAAAAAAAAAATTCAAATATTGGCCATGTCTGAAAATGTTTCTCTCTTTCTGCACTTCGAATCCATCAGCTCTATAGGTGGGAAACATCATTCATCATCATTAGTCTTCTGGAGGTATGACTAGTCATTTGCATTAATAATACTCCTCAAGTCTTTCCTTGTTGTTTAACTTTACAATGGTGTAGACATTGTCTAAATTGTCCTCCTGGTTCTGCTCATTTCACTCATCAGTAGTTCACACATGGCCTCCCAGGGCTCTCTGGATCTGTCCCTTTCATCATTTCTTACAGCACGATAATATTCCATTAAATTCAGATAGTATCTGTAACACCCACGAGTCTTATTGTGGAAGTGGAGTTGGCTGGCTGGTACACAATCCTTCCTGCTTCCTTCTCCCTGATGGATACAGGCAGAATTGAATCTTTGACAGGCTTCCCTATCTTTTCCCTGGGGTGGTAGTTTAACAATAATGATAAGAATAGTTAGCATTTATAAAATAGTTCTTAAAAGTTCACAAAGCACTTTATAAACATTATCTCATTTGAGAGGAGTGATATTATCCTATTTTACAGATGAGGGACCTGAGGCATACAGGATTAAGTGACTTGCCCAGGGTCACACAGCAAGTGTCTGAGGCCAGATTTGGACTCGTGTCTTCCTGATTTCAGGGCCAGTGATCTATGTACTGTACCGCCTACCTGCCTTTAGTTTAATGCATGATCTTTCCTCTGGTCACTGCCCTTTTCTCCCTACCCTCCTTTTCTCCCTGGAAATCTAATCAGTCACACATCCTGTTACAACAATCAGCTTGCTTTTTAGCCCAAAAGCAATATAATGACCCTCAGGTCCGCACTGGTCCTCCATTACATTCTATGGAGTTTATAGCCAACAAAAAATTATTTATACAATCACAATATCTTAGAGTCCCCCAGGTAGGAAAATTCCTAATAGTCATACAGCGGTTTGGCTCTGGCCCGTTAACATTTTGAAGGATTAAGCTAACCCCTGGCCTCTTTATGTTTGAGGCAAAAATTATGAGCGGGCAATATTTAGGCAAAATAATAATAACAACAATAATAATAGCTAACATTTATATCGCACTTGCAATGTGCTAGGCACTGTGTTATGTGCTTTACAAATATCTCATTTGAGATCATTGAAATAAATGAGAAATATTACACTCATTCCAGTCCCTGTTACTGAACAGGTACCAGGAAAAGTTGGGGAAAGAGATCTTTCATGGGGAGGTTCTTTCCTCACTTCTTGAAGAGGTGGCTACAACCGAGTGTTGTTTTCCAGGATGTATCTAGGGGCCCAGCGGCCCTCCTCAATCTCTCCTCTGCCCCATTCGGCCCTACTTTTCTTACACCTGTTGCCTCTGTGCCACCAATTTTTTCTGGCTCAGCTTGTTAAATTCTGGGCAGGGTTAGGAACACTGTCTCTTCACTGTTTCTGTGGCTAAATTCTTGCAGTCCCCATTCCTTCATTTCTACCCATATCTTATGAACTGTGTAGTACCTTTTTAAAAATCATCTTTAATTATTTTTCAAATTTTTTCAAATTTACTTTATTTTTGATTTATGGAATGAAACAAGCATTTCTACAATTAAAAAAAAGTATAATAAAAAAGATGATTGTACACATTACCTTTTAATCATTCACAGGTCTAATTCAAGCCTGTGTTCCAACTCAAAGATCACCTTAACCCCAAATTGCTCTCATGGCTAAGGGGGACTGTCTGTCCTTCTGAACTACTAATTCTAGGATGCCAGTCAGTTTTTAAACTTCTATTACATTCCCTGTGAGGGTCTGAAATTGTACAATTCCTTGAAAAATTGGCTGCAGCATACTTGTCATCTAGAATGACATAATAGCCTATCAAATTACCTCAGTACTTAACAGAATAATGGCAAAGGTGTCATTCACAGCAAATACACATCAATGATATATGAAACAGACCTAGTAAAAAACAGAGCATCACTTGACAGGAAGCTACATAGGACATATTACATGCACTTGTCTCAGTAGTACCTCTACCTCTCAGAATGCCTCTCTTACTTTAAGATACAGTTCAGGCACCATCTTCTTTTTTAAATAATATTTCGTTTTCCCCCAATTACATGTAAACACAATTTTAAATATTCTTTTTTTTTAAAGTTTTGAGCTCCAAATTTTATCTTTCTCTCCCTTCCTCCTTTCTGAGACAGTAAGCAATCTGATATAGATTATACACACACAATCATGTAAAACATATTTCATATTAGTCATTTTGTGGAAGAAAACAGAAAGAAAGAAAGAGAGAGAGAGAGAGAGAGAGAGAGAGAGAGAGAGAGAGAGAGAGAGAGAGAGAGAGAGGAAGGAAGGAGGAGGAAGGAAGGAAGGAGGGAAGGAAGGAGGGAAGGAAGGAGGGAAGGAAGGAAGGAGGGAAGGAAGGAAGGAAGGAAAAGAAGGAAGGACATGTCTATGGAGGAATGAGTAGGGCCTAGAGAGGTTCAAATGCATTCACCTAGCTACATTTCTCCCACCCTACACTCATGGACAAAGATGGATTATAGAACTAACCAACCAGTCAAATCTTTTGGCTTGGATTCCTTCTCTCCATTTTTGGGGTGGGCATGAGTTAGAAAAGAACTATAGAACTGTCAGTGTAATATGGTAAGACTATCATCAGACTGAAAGTCAAAAGACCTAGGCTATAGTCTGAATTCCTTGGCTAAATAGCTGTGAGATCTTGGGCAAATTATTTGACCTTTCTTGATTTTCTCCTTTTATAAATCGAAGGGTTTGGAACAGTAGCTACGAGCTGAGCTCTAAAATGCTGTGATTTCTCTGCTGTGCACTCCAGTGTTTCTTTTCTTCTTACTTTCTGATACTAGACATAATTTGGTATTCTTAACCCTAATATGGAGATCATCAGTTTTGATTATATGATTCTTAAGGTATCCCTAGTTACCTTGGAACATTTTTAAATTTTCAAGACAAAATAAAAATGAGGGAACTAGGGAATGGCAATACAATTACTATAATAATCTGGGTGATTGCAAATGTGTATTTCCTAGTGTACTATGTGATCCTGACTCTCAAGGCATATATAGAAGGGTTCCATGGAAGAGTGCCCTAGACTAAAGAAACTTTGCCCTATTTTCTCTACTTTGCATGCAGAAACTTGGATAAAGAAAAGCATCTTTCTTGGACTTTTCTGGGAAATAGGATGGTATTCATTTGAGAATAAAGCAGAGAATGTTTCTATTGTTTAAAAATGTTGTTTCTGCTCCAGTTAAATGTTTTTTACGTGGTCTGTGCTACTGTGCCTGCCTATCTGTTAGCAGGTAGTAATTGAATTCATAAGTTCTTAGTCTCTGCCTGGGTTCGGACACAATGAGCCAAAGTCAGTGGTCAACCAGAGCAGCAGTTCCCATTTAAAGGTTCAGGAACACTTTGTACCCTCCCTGCCAAAGGATTCACAGTAAAAAATCATTTTATGGTGCCTTAAGCAATAAATAATCACCCAGTTAGGTTACATATATATTTTTCCTTTGTGATAACAAGCATGTGCATGTTTGAAGTATTACGTTTGTCTCTGCAACTATCTGAAACCATCATGTGCACAATGATTTTGGTGTTCATGTAGCAATAGCATCAAACTCTGACCACTTCTGACTAAGCTCGACGTGTTCTTGCAGTTTCTCAAGCCGTCGTCAAATTGTTTCCAAACCACCGAAAGGGTTTCACATTCGAGCGCAAACCAATTCCCAGCAAATGCTCAGACACATGCACACACCCTGATTTACAGTCAATATCCTGCAGAGAGGCGTTCCCTCATTTTCCTCTGTTGCCTGTAACTGCACCTCATTAGCTGGGCAATCGGGTGATCAATATGTTATATTCCCATTAAACATTTACATTCTCATAGTTCACATGTCACACTTTTTGAATATCACGATCTCAGAACATGCTAATTTACACAGATTACCAGTCATCTTGAAACCATCACTGCCCATTACATTCTGCAGAAACATCCCTTACTCTCATTGCAATATTAAGACTATTTTCTGATAAAAACATATCCTCTGTTTATAATTTTTCTGTCTGACAGATTTTCAAAGGTACTGGCTGGCAACACTAGTCAGTTTTTCAAAAGAGTTTCCGTAAGAGTATAGCCTTTATACTAGTGGTAGAAGAATATAAAGTCATGGCTGAAGAGATACTTGTCTAACAAAGGTTTATCATCATTGTTAAAAAATGAAGCAGTATGTACAACTTAATTTTAAGTACATTATGTTTTAAGTATGGTTATGTTTAAATACAAAAAGTAAATATTTTATATTGTAACTATTCATTTTTGCTGATTGGCTAGGTGGCTAAAAATAAAAAATAGATTTCTGTCTCTCAGCAAGGGAGCTTGTAAAATTCTCCTGCCATTTTCTACCATGTATTTTTGTAAGTGAGCATTTTCATTTTATTCTCATCTTAAATCAAAACACAGAGACAAACTTGATGCGGAGCCAGATTTAAGATTGTGTTTGTCTGATGTTGCACCAAATATTGCAAACTTTTGTTCAAATAAAAAAGTATGGCATTGAAATTAAGTTTATATATGATTATTATATTTTGCTAAACATCTTCATACTTATAACTTATTTCATCAAGATGCTATTTATATTTTACTAATTTGTAAAAAGAAATTTAATATAAAATCTTGTAAATAAGAGTAAGCATAGGAGGTCTTACTGGATTATTTCTTTTAATTCTTACAGAATGTCTCACATAAAATATTTGTAATTATTTTATATTAGACTTTTGTAATTTTATAGTTAGTTTTCATATAATTATAATCATGTAATGAAAATTTTAATTTGGAGCTTTTTTAAACAAAAGTTATCATTATAGTTATTATAAGAAATTAATGAATAAATCTAAAAGAATATTATGAATAGTATATTAAATTGCCCTGGGGGTTCACAATGCATTTTTTTTCTTGGTTGAAAGGAGTTCACAGAACAAAAAACACTGGAAGCAACTGGACTAGATCATTTCTCCTACAACATGAACCAAAGTCTGGGAGGGCTCATCCTGTCTGTCACATAGGTGACATGAAGAACACCATGAAGAATAGTGTTCTAAAACACTGGATGTGACCTTTGACAAGTCACTTAAGAGTCCCTGATCCTCAGTTTTCTCATCTATAAAGTCAGAGGATTGGACTACATTCGGACGTGTCAAACTCACAGCCCAACCACCTTCAAAACTCTGAAGCAAATTAAAATGTAATTGAGCAATGTTTAACAAAATAAATAAAAATACAATACAAAATAGATCATGTTAAGTTGTGGTTTCCTAAGTCAATATGCACCCTTTGATATCCATTTCTATTTCAGATTGACACCCCTGGATTTGATGGCTTCTGCACCTTCCTAGTTCTAAATTTATGATCCTAATTCAGTGGAAATTATTTCTAATATCAAGTCTAAATTTACCTTGCAACAACTTCTGCCCATTTTCCCCACTAGATTGTAAGTTCCTTGAGGACAGGTCTTTTTTTTTTCCTATTTGTATCCCCAGCACTAGCACAGTGCCTAGAACTTTGTTATTGTTTGTCCTTTGTTTTTGAAGAGAACCAGTGACGTAACAGGTAGTATCTTGACCTGTGTATAAATTAGGTTTAAGGGAGGCAGAGTCGCACAAAGTCATCAGCCTCACTCTCTCTCTTCCACAGTCATCAAAGTCCAGTGGCAAGACAACAGTCAGCGTAACTGGTGTGGCCCAGGACGCAATGGATGACCTTTGGGTCTTCAATGTCTGACCAAGCTCTAAGTGCTCCACAGAGCCTACTTCAGCTGCCTTCATGACCACTGGAACAAACTGTTCTGTGTTTGGAGTAGACATCCTTCTAACTCACCAATAGGTCTGAGGCCCTCAACCTGGGTTAGCCCCTCTGCAGAGATGGTTTATCAGGATATGACCACTGTGCACACCACAGCTTCTTAGAGCTACAGGGGAGAGCTGGATGAAAGTGGACACCAGAGGTGGATGAGCAGCCCTGAAAAGGGCTGGGCAAACCTTCACACCAGAGGTGCTAGTTCTCACCTGGAACATCACCTGATGTAGTAGATAGAGTGCCACGCTTGGAGTCATGAAGACTCATCTTCCTGAGCTCAGATCCTCCTCCATTAGATTGTAAGCTCCTTGAGGGCAGAGACTGTATTTCTTTTTATTAATTGTATCCCCAGCACTTAGCACAGTGCCTGGCACATAGTAGGCACTTAATAAACGTTTGTTGGATTATGGGATTGGACTAGCTGTTGTCATAGTTCATACACCTGAGTTATGCCTTGGGTCTTGCTTTTTCAAATGGAGCTCCACACAAGAGACTGCTGAAGAGCTAGGAAGGGGAGTCAGAGCCCCACAGAAAAGAGATAATCGAGGATATAAACTCCCTGGAGAGAAGCCTGCACAGCCTGAGGCCCTTCCAGGAAACCAAGAGATGAGAAACTGGTACAAGATGAAGGCAGAGGAGGATATGGAGGCAGGGGTATGGGAGGGGAGAAGAATTCATTGTCATAGTTATCATAGGTAATAAATTTAAAGTTGGAAGGATCTTAGAGGTGGTCTAGACCAACTCCCTCTAAAATGAGGTCTAGAGAGATGAACAGACTTCAAAAGGATTTAATTCAACAAGGATTCATTAAATGCCCACTACATGCTAAGTTCTGGGCTACACACTGAGTACACAAAGACAAAATTTAATTATTCCTGTCCCTGAAGAGCTTACTTTCAATTGCAGAGAATAATGCACACATATATTCATATATACATCTACATACATGCACATACATATACATACCACGTGTATGTGTGTGGTGAGTGTGTATGTATGTAAAAGACATCTGTACTTGCCTTCAAACCCAGTCCATTCAATACTCCCTAGATGACTTCTCTACCTCCACTCCAGTGGCCTTCTTGCCCTGGCAACACCTCCACCCCATGGCCTCCTCCTCAGATTGCAGAGTTCCTGCCTGGAAGCTCCATTGGAGGAAACACCCATGCTGGTAATGTTCAATTCAAATCCAGCCCAGTCCATGACTTCCTAGACTACTTGTCCACTTCTCCTGACCCTCCCCTTTTTCCTGCCCTGCCCCCCTCAACTTTTCCCTTTAGTGCACTGTTTATCCTCATTCAAATGTAAACTCCTCAAGGAGTTTTTAATTGTATTTGTATTCTCAGTGCTTAGCACCATACCTGGCACATTTGTTATTCAGTTGTGTCCAACTCTTTTTGACCCCACAGACCATACTGTCCGTTGGGTTTTGTCGGCAAAGATACTGGAGTGGTTTGCCATTTTCTTCTCCAGTGGATTAAGGCAAACAGAGGTAAGTGACTTGCCCAAGGTCACACAGCCAGTAAGTGTCTGAGGTCAGATTTGAACTGAGGTCTTCCTTATTCCAGGCCCAGTAGGCTATTCACTGAGCCACTTAGCTGCCTTCTGCCTGGCACATATTAAGTACTTAATTAATGTCTGTCTATCTACCTTTCTAATCTATTTTATCTAATCTAAGTATGAGATTGAGAGTGAAACAGAAAGAGAAAATGTAATCGATGCTTACAAATTTTGGTATTGGAAAAGACTTTTGAGAATCCCTTGAACTGTAAGGACATCAAATCAGTCAATACTTAAAGAAGTTAATTCAGACTGTTCACTGTAAGGTCAATGCTGAAGCTTAAATACTTCGGCTAATAGTAAGAATAAGGAAAAGACTGATGTTGGGAAAGACTGAAGGCAAGAGGAAACAGGAGAGCAGAAGATGAGATGGATAGATAGTGTCCTGGAAACAACGAACTTGAACCTGGACAGACTTTGAGCATGGAAGGCTTGGCATGCTACGTTACACGGGGTCACAAAGAGCCGGACACGACTAAACAACAATAACATAGTCCTTTCTCTGGCCTCTTCTTTGGAACGTGGGAGTCGGGAGTCACCAGCCAGGACCTTCTCTTCCCTGCCCTTCCTTCTCTCCATTCTAAGGCTGCACAGAGCCTTCTCTGCATATGCCTGGGGGAAGAGAGAAGCATGAGTGAGTGAGGCTACAAGATGCATCTGCTCAGCTTTGTTCTAGACTGTTAAAAATGGGCTCTGACTCATTTTAGCCCGAGGGACAATAGGAAAATCCTGGATGGAACCAGTCTGGCTCTGCCTTCTGGAACACGTATCTAAAATCAAAATTATAAGATGCTCTCTTGGTTTAGGTCTGCCTCATTCACCCTCCCCAGCACTTCCTGGAGAAAATCTGGAGCATTTGGACCAGGGTTCTACTCTTGGTCATTTCTATATCTCTGTATACCAAAACCAAACATTCTTCCTCCATCATGAAGCCCCAGTTCAAAATTAAGGACACACATGAATCAAAACCAGTTAATAACAAATTAGATCTAATTCATAGCAAGCCAGCTTTTAAAAGTACCACTTAAGATAGAAAATAAATCACTTTAAAGGACAGAAAACTCTAGATTTCAAGATCAGAAATCCATCCACACATAGGTCATTCAACAGTGCACAAAAGGAGGTTTATTTAGCCACAGCAGTATAAGGATATTCAACAAGGGTAGGCATTGAGAATCTCTTGAGTAGATTCAGCTGAGCTTAGAGCTCCCATTAAGATTCAGCAAAATATGCAGGGGGGAGGGGGGATCAAGTGGAGAGGGGGCAGCCAGGTGAAGTGGATAGAGCACCAGGTTTGGAATCAGGAAGACTCATCTTTCTGAGTTCAAATCTGGCCTCAGACACTTCCCAGCTCTGTGACCCTTGGGCAAGTCACTTAACCCTGTTTGCCTCAGTTCCTTATCTGTAAAATGAGCTGGAGAAGGAAATGGCAAACCACTCCACTATCTTTGCCAAAAAAACCCCACAAAACCCAACAAAAACAAACAAAAAAACCTAACCAATTGGGTTAACAAAGAGTCAGATATGACTGAAACAAAACCATCCCACACTGGTTGATTTCTGGATGAGGGAGTGAAAAAGGGGTAAAATCTTGGTCTCAGTACAATAGTTAGTTATGTGTTCGTCTCACTGTGTTCTCTACTAATATCCTTTTTCCACACTGAATGTCACTCCCCCATTGTGATTAAATAAACCTCCTTTGATAAGATGGACTAGGAGTGTCTCATTTTGTTCAGTCTTCAAACTGATGAACCTGACTCATCTGGTCATCCTTGACCTAGCCTGCTCAGTCCTGGAATTTCTTCCTCATCCCCCACCCCACCCCAGCCCCGCTTTTAATCTCTTGCTCTGGGAATAGTAATCAAGCCAAGACTACCACTGTTTCTGGAAAGAGTTCCGTCAATCCATTGAGTTATGGTTCCACTCATCATCCCTGTGACTTCGCTCTCCTCTAGCCATTACTCCCCTGTACATGTTGTTTCCCCCATTAGAGTGCCAGACCCTGGAAGCTGGGGTCTATCTCTCTTTTGCATTTTTATCCAGAGTGCTTATTACAATGCCTGGGAAATAATAAACACGTAATAAATGCCTTTTCTGAGCCTCAGTTTCCTCATCTGTAAAATGGGGGGGTGTTAGACTTCAGTCCCTCATAGCTCTAAATCTAGGATCTTACAGGATCTTAAATATCAGACCCTTATGGGAGATATTTGATGCAAAGATTTTTTTCCCTAATAGCCAACTTCCTTTCTTATCCTATTCGCAGTGATTTTCATAGCACCAGTGGTGCAGAGCTGAAAGGTACTTAAATGGCAATCTGGTCCAACCTCCTGCAGCCCAAGGAAGTTAAACGACTATACAAATAGTAAGCATCAGCGGTGGGATTTGAACCCCCCATTCTCTGTTATACCAGCTGATTTCTGTTAGTGCAGAGGTTTCAAATTTCATTTATCCAAAATACCATTTATATTCACCTCTACTGAGTACAACTGCTTTTAAAGAGGATGGTCTTTATCAGAGAGCAGACAGAGCTAAAATGGTTGTTGTGGAGACAACCGAATGTCAATTTTATTTTTCCACCATATCTATCTAAGCTACAGACCAGGAGGAGAAAGACAGGAATCATGACTTGTACTTAAATAGAAGAAAACAAAAGCAGGCTTGCTGGTATAGCTATGTAAGAGGTAGGTGGCCTGCCTTCCATTCAGGCAGCCATTTTTTCTGGGAGTCCTAATTGACTTGTTTTTAAGGAACCCACACTGGCTCACTGAGATCACCTTTTTTCCTTTTCTAAATTCCAGGACTGAGCAGGCTAGGCCAAGGATG